CAACCCCCCAAATCGGCCAATTTTGACAAATTGCAACAAATGCAAATCCTATACACTACCTTTAAGTCACACCAGCGCTCACTCCAATAAATGCTATAGCACGTCACAGTGCCGCGTACAGCCCTTTGCCCTAAAGATTAGCCTCCATTTCAGGATAAGATTCATTTTAGTCAAACCAATCGTTGTGGATAATAGCCCACATCGTATCATTGTTTTAATCATTGCTGTCATTTCATTTCTTATTTTATTAGAAAAGCAGCGCATCATCTTCAGATAGCCCGATCGCGTTCAATTACCCCGACTTCTGTTGCTCACTTTCAGCCCACCCACTATGTATTGTCCATTGTCTAGGGATTATCCTTATTGTTACCCGGCGGCACGTGCAGTCCATTGTATGTCTAGTGTTATCGCTTACTGCCCCTTGATTATTTCAGGACCTCCAGGTGGGCCAGTCAGTGTTTTTCCATGACATCACGCAACATGACACATCGCCTATTTGTATCATCGTATTGCACCCTGTTGTGCAATAATTTCGCGTAGAAAAGGTCAACGTGTACCACATTTTCTGACCCTATGATATTTCATTTTCATGTTTATCCCATCCAAAAGGTCACACTGGACATTCCTGTTCATCTTTAGATCACCTTGTGCCACATTTTTCACTACGACACGTAATTCCTTTTGATATCAATAGGATCATATTATTATGCATATGCATATTCATGTGAGCTTTTGCTGATTTTGTAGCAAAGGTCAAAGTGTACCAGAAAGTCCCCCCCCCCACACACACACACTGTGCCATGTGATGTTTCATAATTTTTTCACAGGTCTGCAAATAATAAGACAAAACAAAAATCCCTGGCCTGACCACCCACCGGAAACATTTCCCGATCCGCCCTTGAAAGGATCAGTCATTCATTCTATAAGGATCTTGTTTGATGGGGGACTTGTCAAACGTTGGGTCCGTAGGTATATTCTGGTAGAATCCAGAGATTCCAGTGTTGAATATTGTTACAGCTAGCTGACGTGTCTAGCATTTGCATTCCCTGCTATATTGACTTGCATTCTAAGTCTTTCCTTGAGGTCTACTGAAGGCGCTCCACGCTATTTTCCGACCGATGACGAGAACTCTCGCACTTTTTTGCAACACAACACCAGCTACGTATACAAATGGATCAACAACGACGAGATCTCAGAGTAGCAGGAACATCCGTTTATTTGTCAGGTGTAATACGATCATATTTACGTGCATTTATATCTGACATAATCACAAAGTGTCGTTAATACTTAAAAAAAATGAATGGGCCTTCATCAATTAAAAAGCAAGGAAAATACACAGGAGTCTAAAGCACAGTTTATGGTATACAATTGAATAAATCAAGACATACATGCACTTGAAATGATTTTACATACCTTAAATAGGCTTAATAATTTGTCGTTGTGATTGTTTGATTTATAATACAATTTTGAAGCTTTTGACTCTCAACAGATGGAAGAAGTTAGTGATGATTTGATACTCTTTGCCCTGAAATGTCGAAGTAGTAATGGAGTGGAGAACTGTTGATGCACTCTAGAAAAAAGAGCTAAAGAAAATCTCACAGTGGGCTTACGCATCAACGAGAAATAATACTTTCTCGAAAAATCACAAAATTCTTGTCATATTTGTTGGTGTCAAGATAAATTCAGTTCACGAACTTCCCGTTACTGAGGTGAGCATGAGCAATTTACTCTTTCAGAGCACGGGAGGTATTTAACGGTCAAATCACTCTTTTTATAACATTGCAATAAAACTTACGAATTTTGTTTTCATTGGTATGGCGTTTCGAGATTATAGTGTCCTTTTTTGAAAATCAGTCGATGTATTTTGTAAAGTATTCTTTGAAATGTTAGCCTTTTTTCATAATGCTGCAGTTGGATTGATGAGTGGAATTGTTGAATTCGCATGACGTACTTAATTAGTGTCCTCACCTTATAAATTGAATGATGTTATTTTCCAAAATGTTCTTTGAAATGCTTGCCCTTTTGTACAATACTACTGAATAGACACAAGCAGGCCAGTTTGAAAAAAAGCCTACCTTTTAGGTAAGCTATAACAGTGCGTCATCCTCACATTTCATACTCAAGCACGAATTCGAAAATGACGGGGTCCTAACCGCCAGACCTATGAATTCATAGCGAAAAAGTCCTGGGGTTTCATACAATTTGATCAGTTATAGGCCTACATGATAATTGAGGCGGTGAATGTCTATTTGGCATAAGCCTTCAACACAATAGATGAATGATGCCATGATCTGTGACTATTGTTGCAACCTCACAAAAAATAGAGGAAAATTGAATAAAAATCTGAAGGATTTTGCTCTAAACCCATGGCAAAAATCAGTGCCAGTCATCTACAAGGTGAATATACGTCAATCATTTGAAAAATCAATAGATTTACCATCTGACCAAGAAAGAAACAAAATCTTGCCGAGCAAGCATTAGCCTATATTCCGAAATGGCTTAGCCAATATTTTTAAGCAGAAAAAAGCGGTACGTTTAATTTTGTTGTAATCTGCTTCTGATTGTTTAAAATGAAGAGTGCCTTCCAAATTATTATTTTTTCTTCAGGTCATGTTATCTAGACAGACCCTCAAAATTTACACTGATAAATTGAGACTAGAGGCGTTGACAGGTAACGAATCTGTTTAGTTTTATAAAACTGAAGTTTTCTTATCTTTCAAACCTGAAGCAATAGATGAAGGGGTTGGGGGTATATATCCCCAACTTTTGACTGGGGAGGGGCTATTCAACAATCCCTCCACTCACGTATGTTTCACTCTCATTCGACGTGGTGAAATTCAACGACCGTGCGCAGTACCAGACCACACCCTTGTGAACCATACGGAATTGTCCTTAGCAACTTGCCAATCCTCCGTTGAGCCTTCTCGTTTGAAGACTTCGTTTGCACAAAAATAACAACGAGCAATCACATTGAAACTCCTTGTACGTTCTCTGAAGGGTTTACACCAAATAAAGCACCACAGAATCGTGAAAAGAAATGCTACATAAAAATGAAATTTAAAATGAAATTTAGCCTCAATAAAGTGAATGCTAAGGTGATAAAATATTCCTATTTTCAACCGATCTCTTGGTCTTTTTTCCCACTAAATTTCTGAATTTTAGACGTTTTCCCAGGATAATGAGACACTGTATGAAACAGGCCAAAATCTCAACTCCACAATACAGTAAGTTTTACATAGGCTTGGCTAGATAAACTGAGTGATTATAGACTATGGAATTCCATAATAGACACTTCTGCGCAGCGCGATCTACGTGTTTTACATGCACAAAACCGATTCAGCCACATACCGTGCATATACACAGACTGCGTCCAACGGCCGTTTACACGCTACCGTTATATACTACACCGTAGCACATTGTAATGTACACACAAGTGTGTATTTGCCTGCAACTCGGGACCCCCTATTGTTCCTCCATTGTTTGTACTTCAACTTTTTTAGAAGACCACCCCTATGTTTTGTACACAGTTGTCAATTGGGGACCCTCTGTCAATCGGGGACCTTATTGTCCTCTATTGTTCAGGGTCCCCAATTGCATGCAGAAACAAACTCATGTACACCCACATGCACATTATGCGTGTACATATATTTGGAAATTATGCGTTGGCGCCGGTGTACTAAATTATTCACGTGCTTCATGCGTGTGTGTGAAACTGGGGATATATACCGTGATTTTCAACATTTAAGGTTTCTTGGTTTCAATAACAAAATTCGTGTCAACTTATACTGTACTTCTGTGTTCGTCTTTCGTTCCCCAGTCACTGAATTCGTACGCTCGTAAGACCGTAAGATTATGCGGGACAAACGGCATTGGTGCTGAGTTAATTGGTGAACATGCAAACGCGTCCAGTCGGGGAAGAAAAAAAATCTAGCGGAAAACCGTCAACAAATTTTAAGCCTCCACACCTTTACCCACCACAGCCCACTTTTGAGAGCTTTAGGAAAACTTTGACCTCTTTGTTTCGAGAAAATCACATCAAAACGTAAACAATCTACTGCTTACGAAAAGAGCTTTTCACAAAAACCACTAGTTTTGAACATTCTGGTACTATCTCAAAGTTTATTTTCACAAAACATGGTAGGGAAAGGCCTTTATTTATCTGAAAATAATTTTGGGCGGATAATTTATTTCCAAAAAGTGAATGGGACGCAAATTCTCACTCCTGTAATTACGAATGCAAATGGCCCTAAAATGGGACGTGAGCAGTTAATAATTTCCCTCTGAAACATACGTGCACTGTGAGAAAAACATTGAGGCGGATGATGTCATATTTTCTGGACTTCCCAACAATCAAAATGTATTCAATACCACTCAAAAAAAGGCAAAACAAAAGGAAAACCATACATATGCCGTTATGATATACGATTCTGCAAGAATGTTATATGTAGATAAAAGATGTACATCTAAATCATCATAGGGTCACATGGTGTAAGTACCACCCCGCACTGTTCAAATCTTGGCTAGCCAAGTCATCATCCCACAAAACCACCATCCACCATCCCTAATTTCAGACACAAATTATATCTTTAATATACAGATATCGGTTAACTTGTTGGGTGCTCTCTTTTAAAGTGGCCCATCCCTTTCCCAAAAGTTAGCAAACGCTGTCATCATACGCTTCCGTGTGTCCGTAGTGTGAGACTTGTCATATAATGAGAGGTCCTAAAATACTTTAATCGGGCCGAAATACATTGCTGTGCACTTGGCCACAAGAGGTTTATGAAGCAGATCGAAACGAGAACAAAACGAGAGCAGAAACAGACGTTTACCCGTGCGATCAAATGGCTATGGCCCTTTGAAAAGGGTAGGAAATCCGTCTGTGTGACGTAAAATGCACGTGAACTTTAATCACAGTAACGCCAGTATCAGAAGGAGGATAAAGAGAACGAATATTTGTGAACTTGAAACTTCAGAAATTGGTTCCTTTTCAGTATTCAGTAGTTGAGTTGCAAAAGCCAGTCAACATTTCGCCTGAGAGTTCAACTGCACGAGACGTGCGCTACTTCTACACGATGGCTCTCTGGGTGATTCTGGTGATAGGCTACCTACAGATTTCGATTGATTCCATTCAAGCCGTATGTACACGGTGCCCATTGCAATGGACTGAGAGTCAAGGCAAATGCTACAGGTATTTTGCGAGATCTTTGTCGTATACAGACGCAGTGGAATATTGCCAGCATCTCAGCTTTCCTGGTCGAATAGCATCCCTAGCGACGGTCACAACTTCTAACGAACTGCAATTTATGTCGAAGTTTGTAAACGATATTTTCAAGAAAGCTTCTGCATTGGATGTTCCGTCTCTCCTCTGGCTAAACATAAACTCCATGAACACCACCAGTAAGTAGGTAGAAATATCAGTATGCATTAAAGTTTTGGTAGAACCACTTTAATTCATATTAATAGCTTGAGAAAGGCGCTGAATGGCAACATTGACATACTTTATGAAACGGTTGGCATGATTAATGTCATTTTGTACCACTGACACATGCTGCATCACTTTTTGTCGCTTAGAGTTTTGCACAGGAGCTAAGTAAACATCCAGTTTGTCTTTGTAATTCATCATAGTCTTGCTCCGTGCAGTTGGGTTACCAAGCAGCCTAAGTCCTGTTTGACGTTTCTTTATGCGTATGCTGCTTGCCAGCAAAATTCGTTCAATTTGTTCGAGATTTAAAGGTGCTGCTAATAGTGAGGGGCTGTTGAGCACACTGTGACCTTTGACCTAAAAAGAGAAAAGGTCATTAATATACATAAGTATAATAATAATAATATAGGAATGAGGTGTAGTGTGAAAAATTCTGGCACAAATTGACCTTTGGTAAGGGATAGGCATCGGATAAGGTCAAAAAGTTTGGTACATGTTGACAATGGTTTATGGGATTAAATATGTAGGAACAAGGCACGGGGTAAAAATTTTGGGTACAATTTGACCTTGCTTATGAAATTATGGCACAACATGATGAAAGAGGATGAGCCATATAGTGTGTAATGGTATACTGACTTGCCCACCAGGCAATCCTAAGGTAATCTAGGAGTAGGAAGCGATAGTCCCTACACAATAAACAGCTCGTGCCGCCGGGTAATGAGAGGAATAATCCCTAGATAATGGACTGTTGCAGTGGCTGAGCTGTGTCGGCAGACTATTGTGTTAATGATTACATTGTGTACGTAGGAAGTGAGTGTTGGTCTGACTTAATCTTTGGACACTAAGGATGAGAGGGCGCCCACATGCTAGCGGTCTTGGGTTTGGCTTACTATGGCTACCGAGATTTGATCGATACGGGAAGAAGACTCTGTTGTCCCTAGCTGATTTTTAACCCTTTGAANGATTTATGTCGAAGTTTGTAAACGATGTTTTCAAGAAGGCTTCTGCATTGGATGTTCCGTCTCTCCTCTGGCTAAACATAAATTTCATGAACACCACCAGTAAGTAGGTAGAAATATCAGCATGCATTAAGGTTTTTGTAGAACCTCTTTAATTCATATTAATAGCTTGAGAAAGGCGCTGAATGGCAACATTGACATCCTTTATGGAACGGTTGGAATGGTTGATGATTTTGTACCACTGACACATGCAATTGCTGCACTTTTTGTCGCTTAGAATTTTGCACAGAAGCTAAGTACACACCCAGTTTGTCTCTGTAATTCATCATAGTCTTGCTCCGTACAGTTGGGTTACCAAGCAGCCTAAATCCTGTTTGATGTTTCTTTATGCGTATGCTGCTTTCCAGCAAAATTCGATTTGTTCGAGATTTTAAGGTGCTGCTTCGATTTTTGAGGCATGATTTTGTGTTTTATTGACTTGTGCAATATGGCGTTGTACGCCGGAGCGACACAAGCCTCATAAATGACAAATGGAATATGCTGATAACTTGTATATAAGCGCATGGTATTCATGCACGGTCGAAGGTAGTGCACATAAATAGACGACCTTCCAGCAAGGTCTTCTGGGAGGAATATCCCATCTTAAGAAATCAAAACCCAAAATAAACAAAAGAACAAACAAATTTTCAAAGTGGGAATTAAAGGAGTAATGAAATAAAGATAAAGGTAATGGTAGAGGACTGTTAACACAAAGGAAATCCTGCCCGAAACTGCCTCAGAGGGGATTCCAACCTGCGGTCCTTCTCGGCAATTTATTATCTTATTTATAGACAGCATCAATTTATTTATGCCTAATTCAATCTGAGACGACTTACTTGGATGAAGGTAACGGTTTTTCTGCCCATGGGTGATTCTGCTGTGCGTTTAATACACTGACACGAACCACCCCCACACGAACCACCCCTCCTACATGCAGTCTATTCGAAACAACAATCGATATTGACTAAGCAAGTCCAACGCTAACTAGTTTGGTCCTAACAAGCAGCGTTTTGTACCAAAGTAACTGTAACGACTCTTTTAAAGGCCTCTGGTCTCCCGTGCACGCTTCCATGAGCTGCCTACTAACGGAAAGTATATTGATTATATTCTTATAATAGCCCCACTCCGCTAAAAAGACATAGAGCGCTATATTTGGTCTTATGGGCGGTACAGCAGTACCGGGAATTTTACAAAATGTGTTGGATGCATGAATTCATACTTGAGCTCCCACGACGTAGAATGACTTCAATCAAACTAATTTAAGGCATTTTTACCACACGTTGTTGCACCCAGAAATCCAGGAGTGCTCGTAATTCAAAACTTGGCACCAAGCTAATAAAAACTGAGAAATCCCAAATCAGTTGTAACATTTGTCGACAATGACAGGGATGCACAGGCTTCAGCTGAGACAGACTAAGTAGTTAGTAGGTAGTCACACAAATGGGGAATTTTTTTCGCTTCCTCTCCACTTACAAACTCGCGAAAGTAAACACAATGCGTCTTGTCACGAAACCGTCGGGGAGCCCAGGCCCTTATACTGACTCGGGCTGCCACAAACGCGCATGCGCACAAACTAAATGGGCCACGTGAACAAACGTCCAACTTCGAGACAGTTATTTTGCTCCTTGAGACGAACTTCTACCTGGGCACAGGATTTCTCTGATTTTCTGAGGTGCACACAATCCCAGGTCTGTGCTGCGCACAAAAATAACTCTTTCCACAAATTGCTTGTCCACCTCATCGGCATTTCAGTATGAACAGAATGGGAGACTTTGAGACGCTTGGTGGCGACAAACATACCGGGCCTTTACACCAGTTCTGAGCACGCACGTGTTGTTTTGAGCTTGAATGCTTAGTTCTGAGCATGCGCAATACCTTGAAAGGGACCGGTTTGTCTGCTGCCACCAGCGTCTCAAAGTCCCCCATTAACGAAGCGCAAAGTTCTTGTGAGAGCCTTTTCCGTGCAGACAACATTTCTTTGATACTCCACTCAAAATCCTCAGGTGAATCTCTTGAAATCAACCAAGCTCGCAAAAAAAAAAAAAAAACGCCCATCCAACGAGGGGGTGCATAAGGCGATACCCCATTAGCAAGTTTTCTCCTCAAAGTCATGGTACTGTCGGCAACAATGTGTGAGGTGCAGGTGGTGTCACGTCGGGCAATCAGACCACCATTATGCCCATCAAATTTGCGACGGTCCGTCGGCAAATTCAAAGACGACATCCAAAATATATTAGTAACAGTATATAAGCAAGTTTTTTCCTGCTCGATCACATGTTTGTAAATAACGCAAACTCTACCCTTATTTTTTTAAAAATACTTTTAAACCATTTTTATTCTTTTAGATTTAAAGTCACTGCCAATCCTCCATCGATCCCTCAGCCCGGAGAGTGACAACATTCCGTGTGAAGATGGCCACGTAAATCAGGAGATGTATCGAGTGAGAGGAAATGAAAGCGCTGTCTCATTGGTTCCCGGGCCAGAGCGACTAGACCAGGCATGCGCAGTACACTTACCTGTTGAATCATTTATAGATCTTGGAGACTTTGATGGAAGTTGTATCTCGGACCTTGATAGCTGTAAGTCGCACAGTGTGACATGGTCCATTTGGCTGAATATTGACTCACCATCTGATGCCAAAAATAAACTGCACTATTTCTTGAGTTCTGGCGGACAAACAAGGTTGGCAAGAGGAATTGCTTTCATGTACGACGCCCGCTCTAGTGAATTTCTGTTTGCAGTAAGATCCAAAGACCTTCTCATTCGTCAGAAATACAGCATCAGTAAAGTACCTCTGGACGAATGGTTCCATCTGACATTTATAGTTGACTCAGTTGGATCGCTAGGCATGGACTTGAAGGTTTTCGTCAACGGAGAACTGGTGCAAGTGGATGAGGAGGAAATGAGGACTGAAGCGGGTGGGCAGTCAGACAACTGCACACGTCTCTACCTTGGCATGTCAAACACGTGCCCAGGAAACTTTTCCTTGAGTCAATATGGCGGCTCCGCAGCGTACAGCAGTTTGGTTGTGTTTGATGGTCTCCTTGGCCCACACGAAATACGCCACCTGTACGAATGTAGATCGATAGGTCGGTAATCATTTCCATGACTTAAAACTGTTCATATCGAATTCGCATTGACAGCGTAGTAAAGCCTTGTACTCTCTAGGCACAGGGGCCAGTGAAAGGTGTTCCACTCTTCAGTGCTTTGTTCTTTTTCATGGCACATCAGACTAATTTGAAATGGGATCGGTGATTCCATGAAACCCTGCCATGTGGTTGGATTTTGTTTTATCATGTCTCGCGAACTGCTCTTCTGAAGAAGCCGTATCATTTCTCGGGTTTGNCTCCTTATAGTTGTCGAAAAAGTCTTGACTGCCCAGAGGGTCTTTCTGTTTGCTTTCTGCCTGGCTTGATCTTCATCCATGCCTTCGTTGACGTACTTGTGATATTTTCATCCCTCATCTCCCATGTGTTTCTCTAGCTTCAGCCAGCCAATCTTGGTAGGCAGCATTGCTCCTCTCTAAATTAAACTTCCGTCCGAAGCATTTGTCACACCGGTGACAAGCATAAGGCTTGGCTGTATAAATACCATTCATGTTGACTCTGCGAAGGATAACCTTTAAATGACACGAAACAAGTGAAAGCGTTTCATATATCCTAAATATACACGTATTTAATGCTTCTGATTTGCATATTTCATTGTTTATTTTTTCATTGTTTTATCGTTCAAATTGGTGTTTTTATCGCTCAAACTGCTCTATGTATTGCTCTTTTACTCGTTTTATTACTCTTTAACTCTTTTCATTGTTTAAATTGTTCTTTTTATCGTTCAAATTGATTTTTGTGGTGTAAATTGATCTTTTCCTTGTTAAAGTATATTCTTTTCGTTGCTCAAACGGATCTTTGACTTTTAGTGTTCAAAATAAACCTCATATTTTTCAATTGGTCTTTTTATTGTATAAATTGGTTTTTTTAGTGTATAAAATGCTGTTTTTGAGTTTGAAAATCTCATTGGTAATCTCATTGGACTGTATAGGTTTGGCATTTACTTCACCCTGCAATACAAAAGCCAATTTGAACAATAAAAGAGCATTATTTATACAATGAAAAGGGCAAAAGAACAATTTGAACAATGAAAAGAGTAAAAGAGTAATAAAACAAGTAAAAGAGCAACACATAGAGCAGTTTGAGCGATATAAAGACCAATTTGAACAATAAAACAATGAAAAAATAAACAATGAAATATGCAAATTAGAAGCAGTAAATACGTGTATATTTAGGATATATGGAACGCTTTCACTTGTTTCGTGTCATTTAAAGGTCATCCTTTGCAGAGTCAACATGAATGGTATTTATACAGCCAAGCCCTATGCTTGTCACCAGTGTGACAAATGCTTCGGACGGAAGTTTAATCTAGAGAGGAACATGGAAAATATCCATGTTGAGGAGGAATCAGACATGAATGAAGCTGACGAAAACTCGGATTCTGTTGAGGAGGTCAATTACGAAACCTCGGATGAAGACAGTTCAGATTTGGAAGACAATGCCGCCTACCACGATTGGCTGGCTGAAGCTAGAGAAACACATGGGAGATGAGGGATGAAAAATATCACGAGTACGTCAACGAAGGCATGGATGAAGATCAAGCCAGGCAGAAAGCAAACAGAAAGACCCTCTGGGCAGTCAAACAAGACTTTTTCGACAACTATAAGGATTACCTGTCAAGTTGCCTATATTTGAGGGAAAATGAAGCTCACAAGGACATTGTGGATGATCTCGATGGAAAACTTGATAAAGCCATGAACGTCAACAAAGCCTTGAAAAGAGTTTTGCCTAAACATGCTGAACAATTTGCCGGACTGTTTCATGACGAAGAGGAAAATGCCTAAAAGATAACAGTCTGTAGAGACAAATGGTTCCAACAATAATGAGTACATGTAATAACTCTGATTTCAAAGTTAACAAAGTTCCGGTAATCACCCTTGTAGTAATTCTTCAAAGTACTACGATAATTATTGTAAAAAATCAATGATGAACAACGGGAAATAAAACGGCACCAGTACAAACCTACCAGAAACCAATATGTGAAGTCCACTGAATTTGTTTTGTGTTATACTTATCGGTATGACTATCGAATAATAATTTTCAGGTCGGATATTGGCCGGAACCTCTGCACAATATTCCACAGCATGACGAATAAATTTACCCCTTTGCTACGTATTAAAAATCCCCAACTGACGTCATGCCACCCCCAGAATTCTTAATTTATATAATGCTGTATTTTACATTTAGGTTCCGCAATAAAGAACAACAGTAACGCTCCGCTGTGACTGAATTTGTGAAACGTATACATGTACAGGGTAAAGGGACGTAAAACACTCTAGTTCAAAGGGTTAAAAAATTCAGCTAGGGACAACAGAGTCTTCTTCCCGTATCGATCAAATCTCGGTAGCCATAGTAAGCCAAACCCAAGACCGCTAGCATGTGGGCGCCCTCTCATCCTAAGTGTCCAAAGGTTAAGTCAGACCAACACTCACTTCCTACGTACACAATGTAATCATTAACACAATAGTCTGCCGACACAGCTCAGCCACTACAACAGTCCATTATCTAGGGATTATTCCTCTCATTACCCGGCGGCACGAGCTGTCTATTGTGTAGGGATTACCGCTTCCTACTCCTAGATTACCTTAGGATTGCCTGGTGGGCCAGTCAGTATACCATCATTTCATCATGTTGTGCCATAATTTCATAAGCAAGGTCAAATTGTACCCAAACTTTTTACCCCGTGCCTTGTTCCTACATATTTAATCCCATAAACCATTGTCAACATGTACCAAACTTTCTGACCTTATCCTATGCCTATCCCTTACCAAAGGTCAATTTGTGCCAGAATTTTTCACACTACACCTCATTCCTATTCATATCAATATCATATTATTATTATTATACTTATGCATATTAATGACCTTTTCTCTTTTTAGGTCAAAGGTCAAAGTGTGCTCAACAGCCCCCCCCCGCCACTATTGCTGCTTCGATTTTCGAGGCGTGTTTTTGTGTTTTATTGACTTGTGCAATATGGCGCTGTACGCCGGAGCGACACAAGCCCCATAAATGACACATGGAATATACTGATAACTTGTATCGAAGCGCATAGTATTCACTCACGGTAGAAGGTAGTGGGCGTAAATAGACGACCTTCTAGCAAGGTCATCTGGGAGGAATATTCCATCTTAAGAAATCAAACCAAAAATAAACAAAAGAACAAACAAAGTTTCAAAGTGGAAATTAAGGGAGTAATGAAATAAAGATAATGGCAGAGGGCTGTCAACACAAAGGAAATCCTACCCGAAACTGCCTCAGAGGGGATTCCAACCTGCGGTCCTTCTCGGCAATTTATTATCTTATTTATAGACAGCATCAATTTATTTATGCCTAATTCAACCTGGGACGACCTACTTGGATGAAGTTAATGTTTTTTCTGCCCATGGGTGATTCTGCTGTGCATTTAATACACTGACACGAACCACCCTACACAAACCACCCCTCCTACGTGTAGCCTGTTCCAAACAACAATCGATATTGGCTAAGCAAGTCAAACGCTAACTAGTGTGATCTTAACAAGCTGCGTTTTGTACCAAACAATGTAACTGTAACGACTTTTTTAAAAGCCTCTGGTCTCCAGTGCACGCTTCCATGAGCTGCCTACTAACGGAAAGTATATTGATTATATTCTTATAATAGCCCCACTCCACTGAAAAGACATAGGCCTAAAGCGCTATATTTGGTCTTATGCATATGGGCGGTACAATGGTACCGGGAATTTTACATAGTGTGTTGGATGCATGAATTTATACTTGAGCTCCCACGACGTAGAATGACTTCAATCGAATTAATTTAAGGCATTTTTACCACAAGTTGCTGCACCCAAAAATCCAGGAGTGCTCGTAATTCAAAACTTGGCACCGAGCTAATAAAAACTGAGAAATTCCAAATCAGTTATAACATTTGTCGACAATGACAGAGATGCACAGGCTTCAGCTGACACAGACTAAGTAGTTAGTAGGTAGTCACACAAATGGGGAATTTGTCTGCGCTTCCTCTCCACTTACAAACTCGGGAAAGTAACCCCAATGCGTCTTGTCGCGAAACCGTCGGGGAGCCCAGGCCCTTATACTGACTCGGGCTGCCACAAACGCGCATGCGCACAAACTAAATGGGCCACGTGAACAAACGTCCAACTTCGAGACAGTTATATTGCTCCTTGAGACGAACTTCTACCTGGGCACAGGATTTCTCTGATATTCTGAGGTGCACACAATCCCAGGTCTGTGCTGCGTACAACAATAACTCATTCCACAAATTGCTTGTCCACCTCATCGGCATTTCAGTATGAACAGAATGGGAGACTTTGAGACGCTTGGTGGCGACAAACATACCAGGCCTTTTCACCAGTTCTGAGCACGCACGTGTTTTTTGAGCTTGAATGCTTAGTTCTGAACATGCGCAATACCTTGAAAGGGACCGGTATGTCTGCTGCCACCAGCGTCTCTAAGTCTCTCACTATCGATAAACGAAGCGCAAAGTTCTTGTGAGAGCCTTTTCCATGCAGACAACATTTCTTTGATACTCCACTCAAAATCCTCAGCTGAATCTCTTGAAATCAACCAAAGCTCCCAAAACAACCGCACATCCAACGAGGGGGTGCATAAGTTGATACCCCATTAGCAAGTTTTGTCCTCAAAGTCATGGTACTGTCGGCAACAATGTGTGAGGTGCACGTGGTGTCACGTCGGGCGATCAGACCACCATTATGCTCATCAAATTTGCGACGGTCCGTCAGCAAATTCAAAGACGACATCCAACCCCGCCCGCATTTAAAACGCCCATCGGGTCATGCTAGTCCCTCTCACATACCCCCCCCCAAAAAAAAAAAAAACCAACCAAAATTGGTCTCGTCTGATATATTATCCTCTTTTGTGAACAAGACTCTCAGCGCCTTGAAAATCTCCATCGGCGGATAAAAGTCAAATTCGTTTTTCATAACCAAATAGACCTAGACTATCCAACAAGTTGGAACTTGACGTTCTTCATCGGTAGAGTGTATAGAGTTGTTGAAATGGTGTAAAACTGACAATGACAAGAAGGTTTTGAAGACGAAATGCCAGGTAATACTGGTTGAAAATATTCTGTTTATTTGACGGCAGTGAGGTGTATCGGCCTAGATGGCTTTACCTTTGCGTGAGACACGTATGTTGAAGAGTTGTCTCTGAAAAGGGCTGGCACTCCAAATGAATCATGCGTTTCACAGGGCTACATCGTCCAACTGTAAAAAATGAATACTTATAATTGGTTCTACAACGTTGAGAGGGAGCGCTTAAGCTTTCCAGCTGTTCATGAATGTTTTCAAAGGAATATGTAGGCCATAAACTAAACACCAAAAAAAAAGCCTCAACACAGGAAAATAGGCCTCCCGGCAAAAAAAACCTACGCGCAATCAAAGAACCACATTTTACAGGACCGTATATCCAATTATGTTGTCAATTCGACTGAAACTCTAGAACTCTGGTAGATATAACGTAATTGACCAAGATTTGCTCCATTGGTTGGACATTTGATTTTCCAGGGTTTACTGGATTATAATTACCACTCGGACAGGGAAGTCTTTCCCTATATATTACCAAATGGTAAGAGTGGTGCACAAAATCAAATACACAAGAGGAACACACAGGTGCCGATATATTAGTATATTTGTGACACTATATTAGTAACAGTGTATTAGCAATTGAAGCTTTGTCCCGCTCGATCACATGTTTGTAAATAACGCAAACTCTACCCTTGATTTTTTAAAAATACTTTTAAACCATTTTTACTCTTTTAAAATTAGAGTCACTGCCAATCCTCCATCGATCCCTCAGCCAGGAGAGTGACAACATTCCGTGTGAAGATAGCCACATAAATCATGACATGTATCGAGTGAGCGGAAATAAAAACGCTGTCTCATTGGTTCCCGGGCCAGAGCAACTAGACCAGGCATGCGCAGTACACTTACCTGTTGAATCATTTATAGATCTTGGATACTTTGATGAAAGTTGTATCTCGGACCTTGATAGCTGTAAGTCGCACAGTGTGACATGGTCCATTTGGCTGAATATTGACTCACCATCTGATGCCAAAAATAAACTGCACTATTTCTTGAGTTCTGGCGGACAAACAGGGTTGGCAAGAGGAATCGCTTTCCTGTACGACGCCCGCTCTAGTCAATTCCTGTTTGCAGCAAGGTCCAAAGACCTTTACATTCGTCAGAAATACAACATCAGTAAAGTACCTCTGGACGAATGGTTTCACCTGACATTTATAGTTGACTCAGTTGGGACGCCAGACATGGACTTGAAGATTTTCGTCAACGGAGAACTGGTGCAAGTGGATGAGGAGGAAATGAGTACCGGAGCGGGTGGACAGTCAGACACATGCACACGTCTCTTCCTTGGCATGTCAAACACGTGCTCAGGAGATTTGTCCTTGAGTCAATATGGCGGCTCTGCAGCGTACAGCAGTTTGGTTGTGTTTGATGGTCTCCTTGGCCCACACGAAATATGCCACCTGTACGAATGTAGATCGATAGGTAGGTAGTCATTTCCATGACTTAAAACTGTTTATATCGAATTCGTATTGAAGACAGCACAAAAAGTAGCAGTGAATGATTACCACACTTAAAAAACACAAATCAACCGAATGAATCGTCATTCTACCAATTAATCAACCAGTTGTTCATTCACTTAAGTGATTGATCGATAACATAATCAATTTAGTATATCTATCAATTCATTATTACGTTAATGAATCAGACAAGAGCTGTAATTTCCCCCTAAGGCTTTAACGTGTCAGTAGCAGGAGGGGATTTTTTGTTTCTAAGATTTTCAATATTTATTCAGATGAAAACATGGGTTTCATAAGTGCGTAAGCTCATTTACTCGTCCAGTCGACGCGGAACCTGTGTTTCATTCAGTGCCTTTCTTCAGAGCCATGACTTCAAGTGGTGGTCACATAGAATGTTCAAATATGCCAGAACTAGACGGTTGTTCGCAGTTGACCTAGAATTAATCAAATAACATTAGCGTGATAAAACAAGTAGCATTACAATAATTTCCATTGTATTTTCAGACAAACTGGTGAACACCGCTAAAAAGGGCCAAGCAACTATTGGTAAGCTTGTTTCCTCTCTTTAGTTTCCAGCAGACGAGAAGCAATTATTCGCTGATTAAGTGGTCTCATTTTGGAAAATGTAACTGGCCGTATGTTTTGATGTCAAGGTACCATCACATTAATTCCGTTACGAGGATAGGCAATGAACACAGATATTACATTGTGCGTTATTGACTCACTGAGCCCCTACAGGAAATTTTCTAATTTGTTTCTACAAAGCTGCATTTCGCAGAAAAAAAAAACTGTAGAATTTTTTTGCAGTGTAACTTTCAGAGAGCGCAATTTTAAATGTCTGCCGTCACCGACCTCTCTTCCTCTTCCCCAAATACAAGACAGCGTAGTAAAGCCTTGTACTCTCTAGGCACAGGGGCCAGTGAAAGGTGTTCCACTCTTCAGTGCTTTGTTCTTTTTCATGGCACATCAGACTAATTTGAAATGGGATCGGTGATTCCATAAAACCCTGCCATGTGGTTGGATTTTGTTTTATCATGTCTCGCGAACTGCTCTTCTGAAGAAGCCGTATCATTTCTCGGGTTTCAGAGCCTAGACTCCTTCCTAAGGGCACTTAAATACTTCAGTGCTTGTCCTCTAGCCTCTTCCGCTAGTAAAATCCGTAAAAAGTACATCACAGTACCGTCGGGGGCCTTTTCTCCCAGGCTATCCCAATTTGAGGGGGGGTCTTGCCACGTGATGGCCAAGCCACAACCATCCCTCACCACCAAAATAACAGTTCAAAGACAGCCGAAAGAGGCTCCCGACAAGCTCCCGACAGCTGTCACTGTTAAAGAATATTCCACTAACTGCCTGGCCCGGGCGCCACCTTTATAAACAATGCCTTGTATAAACTCATGGGGCCACTTAACACACAGTCTTATGGGAATTGGCTAGACGCCAGCTGTAAGTTTTTCTTTTTTTTCTGGTTAAGGGTTGCCCTGACTTCAAAGTGACAAAACCAGGCTTTTCATCATGAACAGTGGTAGGATATGATGGGTGGTGTTTGCATTTGGAATTTTTTTGCTAACGAGATAGCTTCAGCGGCCTCTCCAGAGGAAGCCGTGAATAGAATCCTGCTCCGTGGGAAAGCATCTCAAACATCTTTGTTGCCTAGATAGATATTCTTCGAATACAAGTGTGGATGATCTGGCAAATGTATTCCCTTTTATAATAACACATTAGGCCTCTCCTTGCGGCCAGTTGAAGACGCCGAGCATCCTTTTACGATCGACGATAAGTCCTACACGTTTTGCGACACGACGACAGCTAGGCCTACCGATAGGTCGTCAACGAGTAGTTCGTGCTTACATCACCGGGAACATCCTTTTATCTGTCAGATGTGATGTGATATCGTTCGTATTTCAACACAATTACCTTATGTGCTTGTACGAGGAATAGGAAGTTTATAGGACTTCATCACTCAAAAAAGAAGGGGAAACAGTCAAAAGTCACAAAATTGCTTGTACACCAAGCAGTTACAGGGAAAACGAAATTAAGGCGTATAATTAAACATCAACTCATGGAATGTATGTTTCTTGGGTGTGCGGTAATGTGTATTTATTATTTGTATACGGTTGATATTTTGCCTGTAGTTTCAGTTAGAGTTCCTTGAAACTTTCGCCGTCTAGCAATTGTATAACTTATAAGAAAGATATACATTTTTGAAGAATTAGACAGTTATTGTTGTATTTATTGTTCTTTGCCTCAAAGGTGTATATAAATAACATGGAGTGGAGAAGAGTTTGTGACTTTGAATTAGAGTTGAGGAAAAGCCTAAAACGAGCTTGCGTGGTGTGCGCTTTTCGATGGAATGTAATTGTGAATGTCAAGAAAATCATCATCAATCATCTGACAGTCAGGCTACAGCTCAATAATTATATCTTTCAGAAACCAAGAAGAGGAGGAAACTGGTTGCCGATGAAACTGCTTTCTTGTATAAAATTGCAATGCATATAGTTTTACGAACGTGATTTTAAAATTACACACATGTAGTAGGCTGTCCCTGTAGGTAGTTTAATATGCAAATTATTGACGTAATTCCTATTTAATTTCTTGGAATTTTGTCCTGTTTTTTAGTGATATAATTCCGCTTCAGTTGCTTAAGAATGCTGTTCTCAAATAGAGTCTGTTTTTCGCGGGAGCAGTGATATTGTACAGTATTACATTAAATGTACTTTATTATTAAATTACATAATAGAAGGGGTAATGGTAATAATTCCCGGCCACTGATTGTAGTATTTTCTTTTATATTACTCGGAGAACAATGTATTACTTCATGTACTTGATATAAATGTTATGTCTTGTGATTGTCTTGTGTTTGGGACTCAGTGGTGCCATAGTGATTAATTGCAGAAAACAATATACATATTCACCCGCGTATATAACAGTGCACCTACACATGCACTAGTCAAACGACGTGCACACAGAGCAATGTACCCCGTAGCCTAGTTACCTTTCTCTACTTTGCAGTGGTCGCTTTTTCCATGAATAATAGAAAGTATACAAAGTGGGAAAAACCCTGAACATTTACGGTAAAAACGAAATACAAACAAATCTCGTAAATAAGAGGTTGTTCGGTCTTTGAAAATTACCTTGTCCCAACAGGAACCTTGTACTACAGGAATAAAAAAAGAAAAACAAAAGGATTTGGACCTAAACATTTCCTTGTTACAAGCAGAATATTGCATTAACAGTGCTCTTATCAACGAGTTTTGACTGTATTCCTTAATCTAAAATATTTCTGGGCAGGCATGAAAAAAAAAGCCCAGATGGGATTCCCGATAACAAGGAATGTAATAGATGGTGTCCCTAAATGGCAGCTGCAATTGATTTTTGTTTAACTGCAAACCTCAGAATGCACCGTTGGGTCTTACTTAAATTTATGCTCAATTCTTGTTTCTCTTCAAAGGATATTACCTTCTTTTGTTCTTTTAGCCTAAGCGTATTTCGGATTCCTACAAACACTGTTATGCCACTCTTGAAAGAAAACTTGTCATGTAACATTGGTTTGTCTTCAAAGTCGTGCACTTTTTCGGATTTTATTGACATCAAGTTTATCTTCTGTTGTGGTTCATTGTTGTGCAAGTACACAGTAATAGGCAGGCACTCAACTCTTTCTCAGAAACATTTTCAGTGAGCAAATTCTGGCTTCACAAAATTAACCCAAAAATCTATGCACTGAGCCAAGTCTCAGTTGTCTAGGGAAGCTTGGATAATTTGGAACGTTTCAAATAGTTTTCATACGTTGAATAATAGTTAAGTGCAGAGAAAAGTGCTAATAAAAATTCACTGCAGCTACCTGTAAGGCTCATTGACACAGGAAAAGTAGTGCAAAAAAAAAAGAAAAAAAATTCTCCCGAAATGGATCCTCCTGACTCCACAAACCTTTGTTGGGATGTAAACAGTACGAATTTAATTAATGCTATCGGTACTTACATGCAGTAACAAAAGCTTTTAAAGCTCGGGTTACCTTGGGAAAGATTATAAAAAAAATTGCATGTAATCTTGTGCTTGTCCCGATGCTGTTCTTAATTCTCAGGGCATGCAGTCACGGTTTGATTCTATCCTTTCAGACGCGTTTGGGGGGGGTTGTTCGGAGGTGACCGTCTCTTCACTCTGACACATAAAAAAATTCAAAATAATAACAAAATAATCTGTAGAAATATTAATAATAGTGACCTTTTGTAAGTGGTATACCAGTAACAATGTAATTAATCACCGACTTGTCCGCCTGTCTGATCAGCCTCCCCCCCCCCGCAAATGGATCTGCCTTCTAGACTCTGCCTCTGCAGGCTATGACAAGCACGGTGTTGGAACTTCCGACGAAATGCGGCAGTCTTTTCGAAACCACAAATCCTCAAAATTACGAATGGTGGTCATTTTCTTACTGCCTAGTCTTTTAAATTACACTGAATAAAAGTCCCTGGATTTTCATAAAAATCAATACTTTTAACTATCAAGCCTAAGTACATGTATGTCGATTTTGCGTCGGGCTCCAACACAACTGATGAACGATACTCTGAACCGCAGCCATTTCAACAACTTCACGTAAGAAAATAAGATCTCCAGGAGTTGTGTTCGAAACCATTCTATGAACTTACTTGTATAGTTGGCTTTTATCCCCCGGAAGCACTGTCACGATGTGAAATATAATAGGACGAACCAGTTAATTGAAGCTAACGTCTATCACAATCTATCGCGAAAGATACATGGTTCAGTGGTAATTACCGTTATGACCAAAATAATCTTCAGGGTCTGCAATTAGAGACACGTCACTCACACACAAAATCAATCAATCTACTGACAAAGGTAAGAATGAAAGAAGAATGGAATTTTGATGAGCAGCCGCACATCAAATAGGCCTTTAGTCAGCGTTACATTTATTGTAATTTGTGTTGATTGTTCCAGATGAAAATCACCTCTCTATACTTTCCTTGTAGCTTTATATATTCTTTGAAGTCTTGTGCGTTGTTAAGAGCTTAGTTTTCCGTCGATCAGTTCAGACTATTTGCACTGACAGATCAAGAATCCATTTAGCATTGGCAAAACTTCATAGTTGTGAAACTGGAGCTTTTGATGAAGGCTCACGATTGCCAGATTTTTAAATACAAAAGGGTGTGATTGGTCTTGGTTGCTTGTTCTCTTTCTGGACATAGCCCCGCCCCTTTCTATTGTCCCTTCTGAGAGTGAGCAAATGGTATCAATACACGTTTCTTTAAGTCTTAATAGGGCCAAAAGAGAACGCAGGACTGTTATTGCCCGCATGTAGTTTTCGATTCAGATCAACGCAACGAAAAAGCAAACAACAGCAAATATAGGTCTACACTTAATCCGTTAATCTGATTCCTCACTTTGTGACCTGTTTCAGAGAGCAAATTCAACACAACCTGCCCATCGTATATAGACCAGCAACTAATTGCTGCGCAAGGAATGCACTGATGTCTGACTCTGTGATTGACAAGACTAGGAAACTAGTCGGCATGACGTGAAGCGTACGTCGTCCGTAGAATCACAGTGACATCGATGTTTGACGGCGCACAGAGCGAATATTAGTAAACTTGAAATTAATGTTAGCATTCAAAATCTTGTTGAAACAGTCACAAACTTGACTGAGTTTGTTCTAGAGCATTAGTGGGGGTTTTGGCTCGTGGGTTCAGTTGGCAAGATACACGCTACGGTCACACCATGGCACTTAGGGCAATTCTGACAATAGTTTTGGCATTGACTTTGATTGATTCCATTCAAGCAGTATGTACACGCTGCCCATTCCAATGGACTGAGAGTCAAGGCAACTGCTACAGGTACTTTGCAGCATCCTTATCGTACACAGACGCAGTGGAATATTGTCAGCATTTCAGCCGTCCTGCTCGAATTTCCTCACTGGCGACGGTTACAAGTTTTGACGAACTTTCGCTTATGTCGAAGTTTTTACAAAACGTTTTCAAGAACACGCCTGCATTCGATGTCCCATCCGTCATCTGGCTAAACATAAACTCCATGAACACCACAAGTAAGTAGATAACCATGCGTATTTCCAGTCTATCTATTTAAATATAGCCTTGCTCTAGGAACACGCCCACTCGACTTAGCGCGTGGCAACATTCCTATAAAGTTTCTCGTCTTTACCAGATGATTTTGTTCAGTATTTTCAAGATTTAACGACGGTGCTACGATTCGTGATCAGGGATTTCGTATTTCAAGGCTCGTTTGATGCGGTATCATGTGCAGGAACGACGCAGACCTGATGAATGACACCGGGGGACTCATTGAACTTATATCGAAGCGCACAATATTCGTTTAATGTCAAACGCCGATTGCCGATTGTGGAAGACTTTCCAGTCAGGTCATGTAAACTGAACAGCCCATCCTTTTCACCTGTAGCCAAAACCAAGCGAACAGGGAGGGGGAACACTGAAGCTGAAGGGTATATATCCTCCGCCCTAAATGCCTTGAAGGTGAATTGCAAAGTTACAGTTATTTTAAAGATTTTTTTATGGGCTGCAGTTCTTTAATTAACAGCCCATTTAGCCTGACCTTTTGAAAAGCGAAAGACAAGTCAATTTAACTGAAGTCCGTGGTTTTTCTTCCTTTGTGTGATTTTGCTGTATTGTTTAATAGTATCATTCTTTCAAATGTAGTGAAGGCAACAAACCGTTGAGTAACCAAGCCAATCGGTAATTAGTTTGATTTCAACAAGCTGCATCGTGTATGAAAGCAGCATAAATTTGTCTTTGAGCTGCGTAACAAAGGAAAGTATTTTTAATTTTATTCTCTAAATAGCCTCACTCTTTTCTGAGAAACTAAAAGCGAAACTTGGGCAATAATATCAGGTGTTTTGAAATGTATGTATATTGGTTTCACATGCCCATACTCTAGCTACTCTGACAAAGCATGACTTCGAAAAAACTAAATAATTTTTTTTCTAATAACAAACTCTACCGCTAAAATATAAACTTAAATGTTGACATCCCGTTATAAAACTGAGAGTTCACAAATTAATGTACGTTTCTCGACAATAAAAATATCCACAGGTTTCAACTGATACAATATCAAGAAGCAATTCTCCTAAAGGGGAGGGGGAAATGTGTGTCTTTCAGCTTACCTCACAACTTCAGAAAAACCATTTCTAATTATAGCGAAACCATTGCTGCCAAAAACACGCATATTACGTGCCCTTTCGATAACCATCTTGCTCCTGGGCTTAACCACACCCTAGCTACAAGGATGACTTAATTACTGGGGTGCACAAATTCAGGGGTCTATACCACAAACAAAACCAGTTTATATCACCAAATAAACCTTCAGTCAAGGCACCCATTGCAACTCAGAGACTAACATACTGGTAACAAAAAAACAACAATGCGAGTAGCGAAGCCACGAGTGCTTCTCGTGGAGAAGGTGTATGTTTTTGTCAGTTTCTCTACCAATTTGGTTGAGGAGTTATCCGGCAAAATGCAGTACCTTTCAGGAACTTCAAATAAAAATACCTCCACTGGGAATAATAATTGCCCCTGCGTGGAACAAGCCAAACCCCTCCCGT